ATATTAAATGTATTTATGGACTCGTAAACCTTTGTTTATTTTTTTTTTTGCTTTATTTAGCTTCGTTTTTTATATTTTTATTCTTACTGTTCTGTAGTTCATACTGCTCCATGATTTTTATTCACACATAACTTATACTTTCTGTCTCTTTGTAAATGTTGTTTTTGACAAATAAAGTTGGGGTGAAATAAAAGAAAAACAAACCGTTCAGAAAGTCTGGAAAATGAAACACATGTGAAACAACGACAGGAGAGCCTGAAGCTGCAGCGGAGTGTTTAAATTAACAGGGATATTTAAAACCAATTTTATTCAGAAAATAAAATCATTTCCGTGTTTTATTCTGAAGGAGGAAATGTAACCGGAAGTGATCCCGGTTAGCCAACATGGACCCGGAACTTCGGTTCCGAGTCTGAAAACTTTGCTGTTAGAATAAAAACCGTGTTTCTGTGAGGCTAAAGTGAAACAGAGTTTATAACTGCAGGTATAAAGCTACAGCTAACATTAGCATCGGAGCTAACATTAGCGTCAGAGCTAACTTTAGCATCAGAGCTAACTTTAGCATCAGAGCTAACAGAGGATCAATGGAAGCGACTCGGAGCTGCTGACCGAACCGAACCGAACCGAACCGAACCGAAGTCCTGTGAAGGAGAGGATTGACTGAACACCTCCAGGTGAGTCTGACAGATTGAACAAGCTGTTAGCTGCTGACGTCACTCAGAACACCTGGACAGGTGAACAGATGTGGTGAAAATGAGGGATAAACCTGTTTTAGTACAGGAGCAGCTGATTGGGTTTTATGAGTTCTGGTTCTGGTTCTGGTTCCAGAGGAGACTTATAAACCTCCAGCTGAGACCGGATCAGAACCACCTGTACTGTAATGGATCAGGTTAGACTCTGATTGTTAAAGTCCTTCTGTTTTTACCCAGGATGCTCCAGGGCCCGTACAGCAGTCTGGACCGGGACCGGGACCGGCCCCTGATCCGGCTGCACTTCACCAGCTTGGCTGTGGCCACGGTTCTGCTGCCGGTGACGGGCTTCATCACCTGCGTCTTCATCTCCCTGATCTACCACTTCGAGGACTCCACCTACACCCACTGCCAGGTGGGTCCACCTGAGGGTCCACCTGGAGCCGGGTCAGGACCTGAGGGTCCACCTGAGGGTCCACCTGGAGCCAGGTCAGGACCTGAGGGTCCACCTGAGGGTCAGGACCTGAGGGTCTGGACCTGAGGGTCCACCTGAGGGTCCACCTGGAGCCGGGTCAGGACCTGAGGGTCCACCTGAGGGTCCACCTGGAGCCGGGTCAGGACCTGAGGGTCCACCTGAGGGTCTGGACCTGAGGGTCCACCTGAGGGTCAGGACCTGAGGGTCCACCTGAGGGTCCACCTGGAGCCAGGTCAGGACCTGAGGGTCCACCTGAGGGTCCACCTGCAGCCGGGTCAGGACCTGAGGGTCCACCTGAGGGTCCACCTGGAGCCGGGTCAGGATCTGAGGGTCTGGACCTGAGGGTCCACCTGAGGGTCTGGTCGTGTTGTGTGTTTGTATGTTTTGTGTAACCCAGTGTTGGTCTGTGTGTGTACTGTTTGTGTAACAGATGTGTTGGTCTGTGTGTGTCAGGTTCTGGTCGTGTTGTGTCCTTGAACAGTTTGTGTAACCCAGTGTTGGTCTGTGTGTGAACAGTTTTGTGTAACCCTGACGTGTTGGTCTGTGAGTGTCAGGTTCTGGTCGTGTTGTGTCCTTGAACAGTTTGTGTAACCCAGTGTTGGTCTGTGTGTGTCAGGTTCTGGTCGTGTTGTTTGAACAGTTTGTGTAACCCTGACGTGTTGGTCTGTGTGTGAACAGTTTTGTGTAACCCTGACGTGTTGGTCTGTGTGTGTCAGGTTCTGGTCGTGTTGTTTGAACAGTTTTGTGTAACCCTGACGTGTTGGTCTGTGTGTGCCAGGTGCGTAACTACCTGCCCTCCCTCAGCTCAGCCATCAGCAGGGTACCAGAGCTGTACATCTGGCGCAGCTGCATCGGGCTGCACTCAGCACCACGCTACCTGGGGGCTGTGGCCTACTTCAACCTGTACCGCCGACGCTTCACTGCCAGGCTGCCTGAGCTGCTGCTCAGTGGACTGGTTCTGGTCTGCAGCCTGACTGAGAACACCAGCCTGGTGCTGCTCACCTACGTGGCCTCCACCGAGACCTACAGTGAGTCCTGCTGGTCCGGTCCAGTCCGGTCCGGTCCGGTCCCACTGACTGTAACACGGTCTTTTTCAGGTTAATTTGTTTTTATTGGTGCTGGTAAAAACCTGTGACCTTCAGAGCCTCCCAGTTCTCCCAGATCCTCAGCTCACAGCTTCTTACTGGTTCCACAGACTGGTTTCACAGGCTGGTTCTACAGACTGGTTCTACAGTTTGGTTTCACAGGCTGGTTCCACAGACTGGTTCTTTCACAGACTGGTTCCACAGACTGGTTCCACAGACTGGTTCTTTCACAGACTGGTTCCACAGACTGGTTCCACAGACTGGTTCTTTCACAGACTGGTTCCACAGACTGGTTCTTTCACAGACTGGTTCCACAGGCTGGTTCCACAGACTGGTTCTTTCACAGACTGGTTCCACAGACTGGTTCTACAGACTGGTTTCACAGGCTGGTTCTTTCACAGACTGGTTCCACAGACTGGTTCTTTCACAGACTGGTTCCACAGACTGGTTCTACAGACTGGTTTCACAGGCTGGTTCTTTCACAGACTGGTTCCACAGACTGGTTCTTTCACAGACTGGTTCCACAGACTGGTTCTACAGACTGGTTTCACAGGCTGGTTCTTTCACAGACTGGTTCCACAGACTGGTTCTTTCACAGACTGGTTCCACAGACTGGTTCTACAGACTGGTTCCACAGACTGGTTCTTTCACAGACTGGTTCCACAGACTGGTTCTTTCACAGACTGGTTCCACAGACTGGTTCTTTCACAGACTGGTTCCACAGACTGGTTCTTTCACAGACTGGTTCCACAGACTGGTTTCACAGGCTGGTTCTACAGACTGGTTCTACAGACTGGTTCTACAGACTGGTTCTACAGACTGGTTCTACAGTTTGGTTTCACAGGCTGGTTCTACAGACTGGTTCTTTCACAGACTGGTTCCACAGACTGGTTCTTTCACAGACTGGTTCTTTCACAGACTGGTTCTTTCACAGACTGGTTTCAGGACTCCAGGAGATCAAGCCTTTAGGGGCGTGGCCTCCAGGCTGTGGAATGAGCTGAATTGTTCAGCCTGGATTTTAATTATCCTCCAACACATGTGTGTTTGTTTGATCTCATGTTGTGTGTCTCTTTGTGAAACACTTTGTGTTTCTGACCTGTGAAAAGTGTTTTTTAAATAAACTTGACTTGTTTTCTACAGCGGTTCATAAAAACGCTTTCATCACCTTCATCGTGAGCTCCCTGCTGCACATGTTGATGACCTGCAGACTGTGGCACGTCATCAGGAGGAACTACATCAGCCCACAGGTACACTGTCAGGATCTGAACCCACAACCAGAGCCCTGCATGACCTTTGACCTCTGTGTCTCAGGAGAACCCTGATGACCTTTGACCTCTGTGTTTCAGGAGAAGACCTCGTACCTGTGGAAGCTGCGTCTCTTTCTCTTCAACATCAGCTGCTGTGCTGTCGCAGCGTATTTTTACAGACGTCACAACAAATTCTGTGAGACAGGAGGTGAGTGTCTCTGTCCTTCACATGTTGACTTCTTTCCTTCACATGTTGACTTCTTTCCTTCACATGTTGACTCTGTGTCTCTGTCCTTCACATGTTGACTCTGTGTCTCTGTCCTTCACATGTTGACTTCTTTCCTTCACATGTTGACTTCTTTCCTTCACATGTTGACTCTGTGTCTCTGTCCTTCACATGTTGACTTCTTTCCTTCACATGTTGACTTCTTTCCTTCACATGTTGACTTTGTGTCTCTGTCCTTCACATGTTGACTTCTTTCCTTCACATGTTGACTTCTTTCCTTCACATGTTGACTTTGTGTCTCTGTCCTTCACATGTTGACTTCTTTCCTTCACATGTTGACTTCTTTCCTTCACATGTTGACTTTGTGTCTCTGTCCTTCACAT